CTTTGATTCTGGTAGTTAGGGAAAATAAATCCCACCTTAACTTTACTAAGATAACGGTCAAATTAAGTGAATACCACCACTCGAAGTTTCCTTAAGCTGGTTCATGCCCAAGTACAAGTGGCTATTTTATACCCGGCTCCCCGCATTAGTGGCTTGACTCATGCCCTTAAGTATCGATGGGAAATTTTAATTTGAATAATGTATTCTCGATAGCACTGCATGGATTAATTAATTAACTTTATTGCCGCGCCAATCTGATTAGCGATTAGAAGTCTTTAAAAAGTACTTCGTTTTTTTTAATATTTAATAGTTTTCATAATCATTTCGGGTATTTTTCTAATGTTTATTCCCAGTTAAATTTAAATTGTTCTTAACTACCCCCCTCCCACACCATAAACATCGTTTTTTTTTAAGTTGTGTTTTACAGTTATTACAGTAAAGATTACATAACACTTAACCTGATCCATAACAAAGAGAGACGGTACAAGACAAGTACTCACCAAGACCCGCACACACATCGGCAGACGACAGACCAGGGACTGACCTGGTACAAACTTTCTCACACTTTCCCCGCAGACTTCGTGGCCGAGAACAGGTCGCGGACAGGACTTGTACCTGTGTACCTACTCCATCTTACCTGACAATCACATGGGGTCAGGAACTCGACTAGCCCAGGTTGTCCTAACATTTACCTGAAGAATGGGATCAGCTTCACTAACACAACAATCTGTCGTAAAGACAAAATGTATTTCAATATATTATTTATTTCACCTAAAATACATTCAGCATGATCTGAAATATACATACGTATACACAGAGTTATTTATTATTACTTTCCAAAATCTCTTTAAAAATATCTTAATTGTAAGTGTAATCTTTAAAATGTATCTTAACTTAAAGAGATATCATTAAATTTCCCGAATTTAAAAAAAAATATTACCGCTTTTTTTTAAGGCGGCTTGGTAAAGAACTAAACGCACTATCCTTATTTATATGCCGAGACCATATATACACATAAACTCTTCTTCATCTACCCAACTGACAGCTTTGTTCAAAAGGCTAAGAAATACAGTTTAAGAATAACTTGAACAAAATTAGTCCACAAATATTTAGCGGTACACAAACGACACTTGACTTAACTGTACTGGAATGGTATGTATAGGTGGACGAGTAATATTGGATGTATGTACGGACTTTTTATTTATTACAATTTGAAATTAAAATCTGGATAAAATCCACACCAAACAACAAACGCTCTCATGGCATAAAGCTACTAACCCACCTTGAATTCACGTCCAACCAAATGATTTTTGGTGACCCAATACAAAAAGTAAAAAAAAAAAAAAAAAAAAAAAAAAAAAAAAAAAAAAAAAAAAAAAAAATACCAAAACAAAATAACAAAAGAAAATACCAAAACAAAATAACAAAAGAAAATACCAAAACAAAATAACAAAACAAAATACCAAAACAAAATACCAAAACAAAATACAAAAAAAATACAAAAAAAAAATAATACAAACAATAGAACATAAAAAAAAAATTACTAAAATACCAACGACAAAAAATTCCAAAAAAAAAAAAAAAGAAAAAAAAGAAAAAAAAAGCAGGAACAAGTTCAGGATGTTAGGTGTTAGAAAAGACGTCACGTGATGAGGTTTAGTTTAGCAGACGATGGTTGAGACCGAGTGATTTGCACGTAGTCGCACCGGTTGTCACTTCTCCAATGGTCTCACTGGTGAGACAGTGCAGGTAGGATTTGTTAGGGGATAGTCTCACTTTTACGGGAGCATTCTGTGATAGTCTCACTTTTACTGGAGAATTCTGTGATGGTCTCATTTTACTGGAGGGTTTTATGTGACAGTCTCACTTTCACTGAAGAATTCTGGAGTGGTCTGGTTTTTAATGATTTTATGTGAGTCTCATTTAGTGGAATTTTAAGCGATTGTTTTACTATTTAGATTTTTTTTTCTGAAATCTCACAATTTTATGAGTTTATTTGTGGTTTCACTTTTATTGCAGATAATCTTACTTTTATGTTTATTTTTTATTTTTATGCGTGTCGTTTTTGTGATGGTCTAATTATATTAAGTGGTTAATAATGTGATAAATTAATTTTTTGTGGTGTCTCATAATGTCTCACAATTATGTGCGATTTCGTAGATTCATGATTATATGTGATTTGGTGGTCTCCCATTTATATCCGGGTTTATTGTCTCCCTTCTATATGTGGTTGAATGATCTCCCTTTTAGCTGTCGTGTTGTGGTCTCAACTTCGAAGATTTTGTATAGCGGTTTATCCGTTATGCGTCCGGTGTAATAGTTCTAATTTCTGACTGCAATATACTTGGTGATAAGTTCACTTGTGCAGACATGGAACCACATTTTGTATCACATTCACAGAATGTGTGAACTACGACAGTCACATGTATCATTCAGAGACAAACACGATATAGTTCACATTCTACTTCACAACTACTCTCTCTTGAATTATAACTAATTTGTTTTACGTATCTATTACCTTTCCGCAGTGTTCGCTTTTGTTTACGCTTAAAACTATCCAACATTTAAACTAGTATCAGCTAGTGGTTTTGACATTTTAATTCTTAATTTCTCTAGTATAATAAGTTAGTATGGATTAAAAGTACCATTATCCTAATAATTAAATTATCAATTAATTAATGTATTAATTACGTTATTTTTCAACAGATGCGATTAGTTTCGAATGGGAGAGAGTATGCAGATTAGGTTTTGAGATTTTCGCTTACGTTGCTTTGCTACATTTTGACAATTTATTTATTTTTGTTGAGATACGTTTCAAAGGTTATCCTAGGAGTTTGTTTTAATTGATCTTTTGTTAAAATTATAACTGTGTAAGCTGCTGGAACCCTTTTTCCTTCAATTCTTTTTCTCGATCTTAAGTGTACATCAATGCTCTTATCGGTGTAATCTATATATATAATTCTCTTCTGGGAAACAAGCTGCAAACGCGCTCCCTACCATCCCCACCCCTACATGGTCTTAGTGAGCTGTGTTCACTCTAAATGTTTACAAACAGATCCGGGTTAAGTGACGTTTATTAGGGGCAGATAATTTAGTTTGAAATGATTTTAAACTTAAGGGGGGGGGTAACTAAGTGGAGTTTACTTTAACGGAGGGGGGGGGGGGGTAAGGAGGGGGGGGGGGGTTATCGTCCTTAACGAGCTACTTATAGTGTTTGAAAGAAATATTTTCAGTGGCAGTGTTGGTAATGTCGAATTCACAAATTATGAATAACTGAAAAGTAGAAAAAACAACAACTAAATAGAGGCGTATGATATGCCGCGGGTCGGCTCGTATTATTAAAAACAACAACAACAAAAAAAAAAAACAAAAAAAAACCAACAGGAAACTGAATCTGAGCATGCGCGGGCAGTTAGAAGACACAACGGTCGCCGCACCATTGACCCGGATTTAGCGCAACAGCTGTCACGTGCACAGCTTAACATATTTTTAATGCGGGGAAAATTTAAATATTTTGTTTTCTATACCCCCTTACCCCCCCCCCCCCCCCCGCTGTTTCTTGTGACAGACACACATCTTTAATATTCTTCCATCGATTCTTAAGGGAAATTTTTTTTAAAGCCATTTGTTCCTTAATAGTTGATTTAATCTAAAGCATGTTTAACGGACGAATGGATATGTTGTACATATGTAACTACCATATATATGCAGGAAAGAAGCTGGCATTGATTTCAAATAAAACTAAGTGGTAATTTATGCTAAAATTTCGTTTGGCTAAGGCGATAATCTCCTTATTACCTCTTATATTTTACCTCATCTTTTAAGCTTGATACTTAGGTCACGTGAGCCGATGCGATAATGTATGAGTCTCCGAAAATTAATTCCTCTTCAGTTAACTACACTGCTTAGAATATTGCGACTGAGTAGTAAAAAGGGGGTGTGGGGTCTGTTTGGGGTGACACTTAAAATAAATATAACATGAGAAGCTAAAAACTACAGGTAAATGACACTATAAAGTTTTTTAGCAAACCATTGGTGATATGTAAAAATGTAATATTAGCAAAACATTTTATGCAGGATATTTGGAATGGGGAGCAATGAAACTCCAAAGATAAACGATTTTTAAATTACATAATTTGATTAAATGTCATTTGTAGACGTTTTTCCTTTCTTCTGTTACTCCAAGACTTCACGCCGATCAAACACGAATCCTGCTAAAATGTCAAAATTTCAAATATTTCATTTCTTTTGTTTTCAACAGAGCATCATACAAATAAAAAAATTCTAGAAGAGAATCACAGAAATTCCTCTAACCCAACAATCTTTCCTTTATTTCCTCTCACCCAACAATCTTACCTTTATTTCCAGAAGAGGACCACAGCCATTCCTCTCACCCAACAATCTTACCTTTATTTCCTCTCACCCAACAATCTTACCTTTATTTCCTCTCAACCAACAATCTTACCTTTATTTCCTCTCAACCAACAATCTTACCTTTATTTCCTCTCAACCAACAATCTTACCTTTATTTCCAGAAGAGGACCACAGCCATTCCTCTCACCCAACAATCTTACCTTTATTTCCTCTCAACCAACAATCTTACCTTTATTTCCAGAAGAGGACCACAGCCATTCCTCTCACCCAACAATCTTACCTTTATTTCCTCTCATACAACAATCTTACCTTTATATTCTCTCACCCAACAATCTTACCTTTATTTCCTCTCACCCAACAATCTTACCTTTATTTCCAGAAGAGGACCACAGCCATTCCTCTCACCCAACAATCTTACCTTTATATTCTCTCACCCAACAATCTTACCTTTATATTCTCTCACCCAACAATCTTACCTTTATTTCCAGAAGAGGACCACAGCCATTCCTCTCACCCAACAATCTTACCTTTATATTCTCTCACCCAACAATCTTACCTTTATATTCTCTCACCCAACAATCTTACCTTTATATTCTCTCACCCAACAATCTTACCTTTATTTCCAGAAGAGGACCACAGCCATTCCTCTCACACTAACTCACCCAACAGTCAAAGTCCGGACACTGCAGGCAGTGCCAACGCTGCCAAAAAACCAACAAGAAAGCGAGGTAAGACTCTCCTTCCCCATGAATCTTGTCGCCATTCTTCATTCCAATGCATCTTGTCGCCATTCTTCATTCCAATGAATCTTGTAGCTATTCTTCCTCTCAATGAATGTTGCTTTTCCTTTTCATTAAAAATCTCGCCTTTTCTTTTTACTACTATTAATCTTGCTGTTTTCCTACAATGAATCTTGATGTTTTCTTACAATAAATCTTTCTGTTTTTCTTCTTGCCAATGAATCTTATAATTTCTTCATCCCAGTCATTAACATTGTTGTCTTTTTTCCTTATATGTGTTCCCTCTTATACGACTTTACATAATGGATAACGAAAATATTTATTAAGCAGTATCGGCGAAAACAATGGGCTAAGTTGGCTTATGTTGATATGACCCATATAGGAAATTAGGGATTTGTTCATGTTTATTTCTTAAAAAACTTATGCAAGCTTCAAACAGAAATATATATTTTTTTCAATATGCAGTTAATCAACGAAGTTCCCTACAATCTGAGTACCCGTATAATACTCGATTTAAAATCTTTTTAAAATATCGTAAAGGCAAGTCGTATAAAATACAAGATGAAAACTTTTCAAGGTTATACATAAGGAAAAGTTCCCTAAAATCTGACTGCCCTCATAATACGCGATTTAAAATATTTTCAATATATCGTAAAAGCAAGTCGTATAAAATACAAGATGAAAACTTTACAAGGTTAGACATAAGGAAAAGTTCCCTAAAATCTGACTGCCCTCTTAATACGCGATTTAAAACTCTTTTCAAAATATCGTAAAACCAAGTCTTATAAAATACAAGATGAAAATTTTTCAAGGTTAGACACAAGGAAAATAAATTTTTTCCACATTAACGTTGAATTTGAGCGAATTATGTTCATACACATGAATGGATTTTTAAAACATTTCTTTTTTGATAAATCATGTTCATGAAGTTTACCTTGCAACTTCGTTCCATAATTGATAACTGATGCATGGAACAAAGTAGTATAACCAATGTGCAACATTTGGTGGTGACATAAAATCTTGTGCGGGGTGTATTGATATTCCAATCAGCGGACGAACAGGACCACGCCAGCCCGCTAGATGGCGTTGGTGTCTTGGGTAGTCTATGTAAAGCTTTTTATCAGATGAGCCTGTCTCCCATTGACAGTGATGTTTGTGTGTAAAGCAAATGTTTGTTTATGTAAACATTGAAAAAGTGAATGCTCGAGACTGAGCAAAATGACGCTCGATTCTTGATGCCTTGCGAGCCAATGGGTGTTGAGAGATGATGATGATGATGGTGATAATAAAGATGATGTTGAAATAAAAAAAAATGAAAAAAGCAACAGAAAAATATTTAAAAATACATCCGAAAAATGAATTAAAATGAGTTGCACAAAATAAAACTCACCCAACCACTGGCGACGACGTGGTCGAGCGAGAGAACATATGTTTGCTAATCCAAATGTCCCAAGTTCGTACCCCGGACTAAAGAGTGAACAAAAGAACTCTAAAATTAAACAACTGCCGCAATTCTTCAGACTGCATTTTGGTTGGTCTAAGTTGAATAAGACTTCGTTAATTACATTCGGCAAATATCGGTAACGTATTGAATGCACACGACAAACGCCACAAGAAAAGCCACGGACACGCTTAGTGTGAGTGACCGATAACAGATCTCGCACAACAACAACAACAACAGCAACAACAACAGCAACAGCAACAAAAGCAGCAGCAACAAAAGCAACAGCAACAACAACAATAGATTGTTAAATAATTTATTTCATTGTCCACCCCTTAGTGTAGGTCTGTGTTGTGAATGTGAATAGTTAAAAGGATTTTTCCTTCTAGTTTATTTAAGCTTAACACAAAATGTCTCTTAAACGTAAACACGTTCTAATACAGTGAAACACAAAAAAGTCTATTAAAAATAAACACATCTTATTAAAGTTGAACACCATCTATTAAAGATATTAAACGAAGCATCTGTAATAATGCGCCTTTTTAAATAAGAAAAATGTTCATGATGTATCACAAACAAAAGAACTCATGTATGACGCAAACTAATTTGCAAAGTTTTAAAAATATGTTTCATGATGTATGTATGGCTTTATGACTAAAGCATAATTACATTCTAAAAAACAATTAAATCTAATGTGCAGATGTATCATTTTGGCTGCTATTTCATGACTAAAATTGTTTTCCATTCTAAACCAAAGCTTAAAATAAAATAGTTCATTAGCTTGGTGCAAACAGCCGTTTCCATTCCGTTACAAATAAAATAGTTCTTCAATTTCCAAAGTTCGAAAGTTTATACATGTATGCTTTGTATTTATTCAGTTAAATAAAAATAAAAGTTTGCTTTCTAGTATACAATTAAACTGTCGCAAAATATATTTTATATTCTGCACATGGGGCTAATTAAATATTAATTACTGTGACACTAAATAACAACAGGAAATAGTGTAATGTAGTGTAGCGTTAAAACATTGTAACACATGCTAAGATACAGATCTTTGTACAGTTTCTCTGACGTTTAATTATCCGAGGTCGTTGTATACGTAATTGCACGAATCGTGGTGTTGTTGTATTGATTGTGAACTGTCGTTAATAATAAACTTTGACGTTTTACTATTTCAAACTAAGTGTGTGTTTGTGTGCGTGTGTTTAGGGGCATGGTTTCTTTCAGACTTTTTTCTCCGTGGGGGAGGGGGGGGATAGGGAATTTCTGGGAGGTCTAACACTATATTATCCGTATAAATTATATGTATTGTTTTCGTCCGGGGGAAGGGGTGGGGCAAGGGGTATGACGTTCTACGGTGGAGGGGGCAAAAGTGTAGGTTGAGTTAGTTGGTTACAGACTATCTAATTAATTAATAATAATTACTGTACTATGTAATTTAATAACATTAATGCAATTTAAATTTAAAAAAAAAATATTGTGCTATGTAATCTAATATCATGGCTGAAATGTAAAAAAGTAAATTAAATTTAACAAAGCTTATTGTACTTTGTAATCTAATATCATCACTGAAATAAAAAAAAATAACATTGCTTATTGTACTATGTAATGTAATAACAACACCCTAATTTATACAAAAATAAAATTATGTACACATAAAAAGAATATTATGATATGTATTCTATTATCATCACTGAAAGGTAAAAAAAAAATTAAATTAACAAAACTTAATGTACTATGTAATGTGAAAACATCACTCTAATTTATACAAAAATAAAATTATGTACAAATTTAAAAAAAAAAGGAAGCGCGACGTTTAAAATTGGAGTAGAAAATTTATAGCCTACTGCTAGGTGACATATTCGCTTTATCACTGCTACACACCTGGCCTTATCTCGTGTCATAAGTTACCTGACTCGCGACATTCTTAATTGCTTGTGTTATGTAACTAATTAAACATAATTAATGCATTGAAATCACGATTAAAATGCCATGTTATTTTTTTTTTGCTAATACTATGCGCTGTTTTGTGTTTTGCTTGCTTAGCATTGCATAACTCGTACCTAAATAGCGGTGGTTTAGCAAGGCAACATGATGCGAATATACATACTACTTTTTCTGATGGTGGTGGGGGGGGGGGGGGGAGAGGATTGAGTTGCTTATTCATTTTGGTGTGTGAGTTTTGTAGTTGACATGATTCATAGAAAGGATTTTAAGTCTGGTATTGTAAGGATTAAGATTGTTTTTGAGTTAAAGATAATGTTTTGATTTCCAACTTTTGACGTTTCACGTATTAGAATTCTTGTTGCTTTGACTCCAAACCTATGGCTATTAATTCCATATCATGCATTAGAATTCCTCAATCGAAGATTCGTAAAACCTTGTTAAATAGATTTCACTAGTGAATTCTCAACGCCTTGTATGGTTAGCTTGGCGAGCTAATACTTGCATTCTTTTAATTGTAACGTCAATGTTTAACCCACTGCTGGGCTTAGAGTTGCCACTGTAAGGATGAAATAGATTTCGCATGCTTTGAGTTTATTCGTTAAAGATTAAGTTAGAAAGTGGAGTACAAGTTAGAGAGATTTGTACACAAGTTCTAAAACGTGTTACCTCCCTCTACAGCCTGTCAGCTTAGCTTATCTCCCCATGTGAGATCACTCGGTTCATTAGATCGACGGTTTTTTGAAGACCGGCGATTGTAATCCTAACCTCCATTTATTTCAACGATGACAAATAGCGCGTGACTTAAACGAACACCGGGACCTAATTAAGTCCTTAAAACCCTGATCCTACCCGTTTTTTTTTTGGACATGACCGTGAACGGGTACTTAAGCAGGTCTAATTGTTCCCCCTGCTTAGATCTGTTACTAAGCCGGTTCGTTTAGCGGGCAGACCGGCCACCCCATTTACATGTTTTTATCTTGATCTGGTTACATTGTGCTTCTTGTTCGCTTAACATACACAATAGGCTTTAAAGTTCATTATATTTTTCTGTTGTTTTTTTTATGTCTGACCCCGGTTGAAAATTGAACTGCTATATTTGTTGTTTACCTATGTATATTGTTTAAATGCCTTTACATTTATTACATAATGAAAGTAGAATCACACACGAATTTGGAGAACTTGAATACGTTGTAAATTTATATATATATATATATATATATATATATATATATATATATATATATATATATATATATATATATATATATATATATATTTAACTAAATGAACAGGCAGCCATTCTTATTAAAAATTAGATATATTTCGCTTTAGTGTCACCCCCCCCCCTTCCCCCCACTTTTGATGGCGTCACCCAATGCGGTCCTTATCCTCCACCCCCGCCTTGTTGTCCGACTCAAATTAACAAACTCAATTTGTGATTGTAACTTTTAAGTCGTATCAAATTTAAAAAAAAATAATACTCATAACAATAGCGTCTGGCTAGTGTTAGTAGTGAGTGATTTCCCTTTTCTGAATGAGAAACAAAACCGAGTAAGCGTTTATCAGAACGGTTTAATTCACACATTTAAACAAAAAAAAA